ACAAGGGCGCCCTGGTCCCAGCACAGGCCTGCCCCGGCCTGCCCACATGGACGCCATCTGCTATATGTCCAGCCTGTGACCCAATGCCCCCACACCATCCTCCTTTCAGCTACGACAGGACACTGTGACAAGACGTGGACCCCAAGAGGCCTGGGAACACAGCTCTGCCGTGACTGAGCGGCTTACCTGCCCCCCCCCACCGCCCCTGTGTCTTACCTCCCCCTGGAGGCCCCCAGCGTGGTGGGAAGGACCCGCCCACCTCGGGTGACCTGCAGAGCCCCCCATATTGGCACCCCCTTCTTGGGGGCTCAAGGCAGTGGAGACCCCCGGGAGACTACGGGCTCCATGGGGAGGGGAGGTTCCTCTCACTTTACAGGTGGCTGTGGGTGAAAAACAAGTGTTCCTAAAGGTCTTCATTGAAATCGGTTTTTAACAGTCATCATTTAAACAAGGCTTTGGTGAGATTTTGCACATTTTTGTAGTTTCTTTACATACCCATCTTACAAAATCCACCACTTGCTCATTCATGACATGGCCGGCTCCTCGGGGTATAGGAATGGGGGCTCGCCTCAATCTGGGGAACCTCACCCACTGCTGGGGTCCAGCTCTGGCAGGGCTGCTGAGGGTGCCTAGACACCCATCCACCGGGTAGCAGGCAAGGCAATACCCCCACACAGCATGCCCCCCGACAGTGCACACCTTGGGGTGTTTGGGAGCCCTGGGCTGGTGACTGGTGATGGGGGTGCGGCGGGAGCGAGGATGGGCCCACAGGTTCTGACAGCGGCTTTGAGGCCTTTGCTGCATTCTCAAAATGCATAGTCAATACCGAGAACCCACAGGGTGGAAGTAGCCGGGGGTCCCCAGGGATGGGCCAGGGCCCTCTAACTGGGTGGGGGCAGGGGCAGCCTGCTCCTGGGAAAAGCAGAAACACGTGGACCCTCTATGGTCTTTGTTGAGGGCTGCCGGTCTCAGCCGGCGTGGTTTCCCTCAGGGGACATTTAGCAACATCTGGAGACATTTGTGGTTTTCAGGACTGGGTGGGGAGGGGGCTACTGGCATCGAGTAGGCAGAAGCCAGGGATGCTGCTCAGCACCCCACAGTGCACAGGGCGGCCCACCCCAGAGAAGGATCCTCTGGAATGTCAGTGTGCCACATTGGAGAGTCTGGTTAGGGGAACAGCAGAGCCGCCTGGGGTGGGGGGTGGGCAGCCCCGCCTGGCCTGGCCCCGAGGTAGCACATGGTCCAAGCAGCACTCCGTCCCCCAGGTGGGGTCCCCCTGCAAGGCTTGACTGGGTCTACTGCAACGGGACCATGTCTGCAGTGAAGCTGCTGTCACTAGAGCGATTGCACCCTGAATCCCTGATGGTCACCCCTATCCCGTGTGAGGACAGGATTGCTCCATTGCAGGTGGGGAAACTGAGGCTCAGAGCAAGGCCGGGCCTGGTCCTGACCCAGTCTCGCTGGACCCGAGCCCAGGCTGCCTCTGCCATGCTCGGGCTGGGAAGCTGGGGCAACCATGTCACCTGGTCCTATGTGCCACATGCTCGCGTCCCCACACACTCGTGCCCCTTGCCCCTTCGCCTGCACCCCCATGCACCCGCATCCAGCGTCCCCTCGTCCTGCACCCCTGCATCACTGTGCCCCCATATTGGCTTGCCCAGCGCAGTGGGAGGGGCTAGAGGTCTTCGTGGGCAGGGCTTAGGTCCAGCCGATGGGCCTTCCCGAACACCAGGAAAGTACAGAGCCCCAGGTTGCTGACAACAGCCACCAGGTTGAAGAGAGAGGTCCAGGAGCCTGTGATCTCGATCAGGTAGCCGCCCAGGCACACGCCCACCACACCTGGACCCGAGAGAGGAGGAGGGCCGAGTGGGCCCGCGGAACCCAGGGCACCCGACAGCCTCCTGGCCCCAGACCGCCCCAGAAAGGCCCCATGTGGGCTGTACCAGGATCAGAGCCGGGCAGGGCCCAGTGGAAAGCAGCCCCATGGTTCTGAGAGCTGAATTCCCATATCCGAGGGGTCAGGATGAAGGCAGGTGGCCTCAGACCCAGAGGGTCTCGGGTGGTAGAGGCCCACACCCACCCAGGAATGGCCCACCCAGTGGGGTCCCTGTGCCTGGGCCCCATGAGCCCCTCTAAAGAGGAGCCTGGGCGTGGGGCACCGCAGGGCTAGGGCACCAGGACTATGGCCTGAGAATGTGACAGGTCAGCCCGGGTCCCTTCCTCACATCTGAATCTGGGCCAGATCTGCCGATGATGGGTGCAAGTGAACCCCTGCGCTCTCCTCTGTGCCCCCGACACCAGTCTGCCATCATGGACTTAAGGGCACACCCGCCCACCCTGGGCAGGCCTGGGGGATCCGGGAAGAGGTGAAAGAATGGTGTGGGGCAGGGTACAGCAGGGGGCACCCCACCTCTGGGCTCATCTTGGGGGGCCTGACCTCTCGGGGGACCTGGTATGGAGCCCCCTTACCTGCCAAGGCCCCCGCTGTGTTGGCCACACCTGTGAAGGGCCAGAGAGCAGGAATAGGGGCTGGTCAGTTAGAGAAGGCCACCAGGACCCTCCATGCCACCTTCTGGGGATCCAGGGTGGGGCTGGGGGCTGGGTGTCCTCACCAAACAGAAAGCCAGCACAGGACGGGGCCAGGTCCTGGATGTTGACGGAGATGCCACTGCAGGAAGATGGGGAGATGGCGGGGTGTGCCGTAGGGCCCCCCCCCCCATGGGCTGAACGTCAGCCTCAGACACCGCAGCCAAGAGGCGGGTGGGGGAAGGAGGGCTGGGTGGCTTGGGAGAGGACTCCCACCTGCCACCTAACACGGGGCCTAGGCTTCCTCATCTCCCCCAGAGGCCTGTAGCAGGAGCTCCCGACCCCGACTCCCAGTAACAAATGGGCCGGTGGGCAGCAGGGGAAGTGCGGTAAATGTCCTGTGGCTGTTGAGTTCATGTGAAAACAGACACCAAGTGCAGATTCCCCATGAAGTGCTGCAGAGCAGACCAGGTCGGGCAAGGCAAGGGGCAAAGACTCAGAGGGCAGGACGCCCCCTGGGGACAAAAGAGGAGCTTTGGCACTGGAGAGCAGAGGGAAGCACCTCCTTTCCCACCCCCACCCCTCCAGCGGTGTATTTTCCCAGGCGCCTGGGTCCATGAGAGCGGCCGGGACCACCCTTCCCTCCTGGACTTACTCCCTGGCGGGGGCTGCTACTCACAGCCCCGTCCCTGACCAAACAGCGGTGGGGAGGCCTAAGGCAGGTGGGGCCTCACCTGTGGTTGAAAGTCTGGAGGCTGATGGTGGCCGATGCGAAGACCATGGACTTACAGAAGTTGGAGGTGTGACCCAGACACAGGGCAAAAACGCTGGACAGGCCGAGGCCCACGGCCTGCAGGAGAGACGGTGTGGAGACAGGGACACTCTCCCGGCCGCACCCCCCTGCCTCTCGGTTGCCTGGGCTCCCTGAACAGGGGCGTGTGCATCCAGGATCTGACCACAGAGCGGGCTGGTCTTCACTTTGGGTCCTGGGAGTGACCCTAAACCCTTGGGATTTCCCGAGTGGTAGGCGTGTCTTTGTCACTCAGGTTGGGCTCCTGGGACCCCATCTGATAGTCAATGCTAACAAGGTGACTGGGGTGGCCCCTCGAGCCTCCTAGGGGGTGAGGGGCTGGAGACTGCACTCAACCACGTGGGTGATTAATCAATCAATCATGTCCATGTGGTGAAGCCCCAATTAAAATCTGGACACTGAGGCTCGGTGAGCTTCCTGGGTTGGCAATACTCCGTGCATGTGTCACACATCGTGGCCAGGAGGAGATGACACTTCCCAGGACCCCTCCTCATTTCGTTTGGACCCCTCCCAGACCCTGCACAGCGCGCCTCTTCCTTCGGCTGGTTGGTCTGTGTCCTGCTATAACAAATCTGTCATCGCAACCATGATGGTTCATCTTGTGTCACCGTGGCTCAGCTGTGGTGCCCAGCTGTTTGGTCAAACACTAGTCTAGATGTTTCTACGAAGTAGTTACATGTGATTAAGTCAGCCGGCCTAGAGTAAAGCAGACCACCCTCCATCAACTGAAGGCCTTAAGAGGAAAAGCGGAAGCTTCCTGAGGGAGGCTTCTGCCCAGGCTATAAAGAGACATCCTGCAGAATTCCTCTCTCCCCCACGGCCTGACCCACTGACTGCAACACTAGACTGCCGGAATTTCCAGCCTGTCATCTGACCAGCAGGTTTTGGATTTGACAGCCCCCACTATTGTGTGAGCCAATACTATTGTGTGAGCCAATACCATTGTGTGAGCCCATACCTCAAGACGAATAAATCTCTCTCTCTTTCATATATACATATATATATATGTCCTACTGGTCCTGGAGCCCTGGTGGCACAGTGGTTAAGAGCTCAGCTGCTAATCAAAAGGTCAGCAGTTCAAATCCACCAGCTGCTCCTTGGAAACCCTATGGGGAAGTTCTACTCTGTCCTATGGGGTTGCTATGAGTCGGAATCAACTCGATGGCAACGGGCTACTGGTCCTATTTCTCTGAGTTCTAATTACTGAGCACAGAGCTGTCCTGGCTTATTTCTCTGAGTTCTGATTACTGAGCACAGAGCTGTCCCAGCTTCTGAGTAGTCTCAGCACATTACCAAGCCTGAGGGTGGTTGTGGGGGTCCGGAACTTGCAGCTAGTGTCTGAAGTGAGGATGTCTTGTGGGGACTATGCCCCAGACTTTACAGATCATATCTGATCCCTGTCCCTCCTGGGCTGAGTCTTCCTGGAAGGTACTGGGATGTGGTGCTCCACAAGTAAGACCAGCCCATGGTCAGACCTAGGGGAGGTCACTGGACATGAACTCAGGCCCAGAAAGGGGCACAGGGCCCGTGTGGGGAGCCCAGACAAGGGTCCCCACTCGGCCAGATCATCCCCAACACCGGCCCCAGTGTGCCCTCCCACTGCGATGCCGAACCAGCCACCTCTGGGTCTTGGTGCTGGCCCTTCAGGGGGGCCTTGGTCCCAGAAACTGGGAGATTTGAGGGCACAGTCCTCGGGTCCAGAGAGAAGCAGGTGAACGGTTTCCTACCTGCATGAACTTCCGAACCACGATGGTCCTGTAACCTGAGGGGGAGGAGCGGAGGAAGGGGCTCCCGTTAGCCTGTTGGCTGCTGGCCACTGGACTGCACCCTGGGGCGGGGTCCAGCGTCACAGCTGCAGGGAGGGAGAACGCACTCGGCCAAGCTTCAGAGCCCGGGAGGGGGAAGACGGGGCCTTGGTACTCAGGATGGGGGTGTTCTGTGCCATGGTTAATATGCATGTGTTTACTCGTGTGTGTGTACGTGTGTGCGTGTGTGCAATGCACATCTATGCAGCACGCCACCCACGTGCCCTGGGAGATTCCTGAGGCAGCACGCCACACACGTGCCCTGGGAGAATCCTGAGGCTGCGATCCGGGAGGCAGGCATGGGAGGGCCACGTGAGCGGACACTCGACAGTCACGAGGCGCCTCGCGCTTTCTGTGTTTCTCCCGATAGTCTAGTGGTCCACCGTGAGCGCCTGTCAGCTCACAGCCAGGAGAAAGCACTCGCCCTGTGACAGTGGGCCTGTGAGCACGCGTGTGGATCTGCACATGTGTGTTGAGAGGATGCTGCTCTTGTGGGGGGAGGGGCTGGACCCCAGTGCCGGTGGATGCGCTCAGGGACGGGGTGCCCCCAAGCCGGACCCGTCAGCAGTGTGATGCCCTGACTGCTGACCCCAGGAGTCTGCCCTCCTCCAGAAGAGTGGCACAGCCACAGCTGGACTGGGGTCTTCTCACTACATGACAACCCCCTGCCTTTAACAAATGGGGAAACTGAGGCTGGGGCAGCACTTTGAGGCAGGCTGAGGCCTGGGTCTCTACCAGAGCCAGGCCTCTCCCGGGCCCCACTGTCCCCTGCTGTGTCCATGCCTGAGGCCTGGGCCGCCCCTGAAGTGGGGGGGTCTCACTCTGTCACAGCGGCGGCCTCCAGGGCATGGGCCTCTTCCTAGCGTTGTAGCTGCCCTCCCAGGAGGGAGCCTCCCTGGGCCCTGAACGGAGGCAAACCAGGGGCTGGGCTCATGGCCCAGCCTGCCCCCACCCCCTGGCCCTAATCCCCTCACTTCCCGCCCCCTGTCCCTGGGGGCTCACCGTGACTGATGAGGTGATCCGAGAGAAACCCGCTGAACAGACTGGCGGGGATCGCCACCAGCCAGGGCACCGCATTGAAGACCCAGCCCTGCGGGGAGGCAGCTCAGAGGGGCCAGCCACACCCACCACCCTGGAAGAAGCTCCACGCCTGATGACACCCACAGCCACTGCCACCTCTGCCCACCTCTACCCACATGCCTACTGACGCCCATGGCTCCGCCGCCCAGGGCCACCTCCACCTGAGGTCTACCAGCGGTATCGTCTTCCCTGGAGCCCAATCCCCCTCATCACTCCTCCCGCCCTACAGCACCCCACACCACAACGGGCAGTGCCAGGCAGCCAGGGTGATGCCCCTTCCCTGGGGGGGTCCCAACCACCCAAAACCAGGAGGCCTAGGCGCCTGGGTACAGCGCCTCTCCCCATTCTGGGCTCCTGCCTAGGCCTCCTTGGGAAAACTTCCCTCTGAGCCCAGCGTGCCAGGCCCTCAGGGTGGGGCTCTCCGGGCCTGAAGCAGCTGCTCAGGGGCCGTGCTATAGTACATGGCCCCGGGGCGCTCAGCAGAGCCACGGTGGGAGCAGGGCTGCAGGACACGGCCCCAGGGCGCTCAGCAGAGCCACGGTGGGAGCAGGGCTGCAGGACACGGCCCCAGGGCGCTCAGCAGAGCCACGGTGGGAGCAGGGCTGCAGGAGACGGCCCCAGGGCCCTCAGCAGAGCCACAACGGGAGCAATGCGGTGGATAAGGCATCTCCGGCCACGAGCCCGTGTGGGTCCTGACCACCACAGGGTCCCCATGGTCTCCATGCTGGGCCAGGTACCTCAAGACCTCTGTCTCCATCCCCAGCCCAGCCTGCATGCGTCACAGGGCCAGCAGACCCACCTTGGCGCTGGGGAAGGTCTCCCTGAAGAAGGTCGGCAGCCAGGAGAGCAGCGTGAAGAAGGCGCAGGCAGAGGACAGCTGGGAGAGAACAGCTGCCCTGGGGCAGGCGGGCGGCCGCTCAGGGCCAGGGACTGGAGGGCTCAGCCACTGTGCCCCTTCCCAAAGCCAGGGTGGCCAGGCCAGGAGGTAGGCCAGACCCTCTGTGAGCTGGCCTGGCCATGGGCATGGCACCTCCCCCAGGTGTGGCCCAGTGCGAGAACCGGGCATGCCCGCTCCGGTCAGTGGGCACCGGGGCCTGGGCTGGCTCTGCACCGCCGCCCCTGCCCCACTGTGAGACCGGCCAGCCCGACTCACCAGACAGCAGGCTTCCGGAAGAGCCACCTCCAGCGGGCTTTGGTGTGCCTGGACATGGACGGGCCTTGGGCAAACACACCCAGGGCCATCACGAGATCTGAGGACAAGTCATGTCAGAGTGGTGTCCACTCCGGCCTGGACAGCGGGCGCTGTAGCAGACCAGGACGGAGCAGCCCACGGGGTCAGTGTGCCCCTGCCGGGTCCTGCTGGCTCACGATGCCACCCTCACCCTCACTCTGCTCAGCCCCCTCGGCCCACCTCGTCCTGAGCACGCAGCCTCCACCCCTGCAGGTGGGCTGGGGGTGTCAGCTTTCAGAAGCCCATCCCAGCCAATCCCAAGGTCCTTCCTGGAGCCCGAGGGCCTGTCCTCCAGTCCTGCAGCCCCTGCTCCACCGTCTTTGGCTAGAGGTCACCCTCCCTCCTGAGCTGCTGCCTTATCTCCAAACCAAACATTCTGGACTGAATGTGGTATCATGAGCAGGCTCAGAGCTTGGCACCTGGGAGTTTTTTTCTAAAGCTCTGGAGCTAGTCTGGGGGCAGTGGTGGTCCGGGATGGAACTCTTGCCATCCATGCAGGAGACCTGGGTTCGATTCCTAGCCAATGCACCTCCTACGCAGCTACCACCCCTCTGTCAGTGGAGACTTGCCTGTTGCTGCGATGCTGAACGGGTCTCAGCAGGGCTTCCAGACTAAGACAGACCAGCAATAAAGGCCTGGTGATCCATGCCAATGAAAACCCTATGGATCATGGGCATGGCGCAGGACCAGGCAGGGTTTTGTTCTGTTGTTCACGGGGTCCCCACGAGTTGCGGGCCAACTCGACAACAGCTAACAACACCCAAGCTAGTCTAGAGGAGCCTTTCTGGGAGATTACAGAGCCAGCCGCCCCAGGCCCTGATTTTTGGATGCCCAGCGGCCCCTACCAGGAGGGTCAGCCAGGCCCTTGCCCCCCCAGGACCAGCCTGCCACCACGCGCCCCCACCTGCCGTTACCTTTCTCGCTCAGCAGGTACCTGTACACGTAACACACCCACAGCAGAGTGAGCCCACCCGAGAGGTAGAAGACGCTCGGCCAGCTGTACCAGTCCAGGAGCAGGGAGCCCACGCTTCCGGTCACCAGTGTTCTGTAAGGATAGGGCCATTGGCCATACCTCAGTCAAGGAGGCGCCCTGGAGTCCCACCCTGGACATCCATGGGCAGCTGCTGGAAACCCCCAGCTTGCCGTTTTGAGGAGGATTCCAGGTATTCACTGAATGACCTTCCGAAACTGCCCCAGCGGGTGAGCTTGGGCATGGCCACATGGGGTGGGCACAATCAGGGGCCTCGCTGGCCCCCCAGAAGTGCCCCTCTGTGCCCCTGCTGGAGTGGGGACAGACAAACTGCAGGAGGCCAGGTGAAACCCAAACCTCCCGTCCCATGAGTCATTTTAATACAAGTCCATCCCGTGTTCTCCTGGAGTTTGCACTTAATCTGCACTGTTATTGGCTAAAGCTGGCCACCTCTGCCCGCCCCGGCTGCTGCAGCCACACCCCACACCCCTCTGCCTCTCTGAGCTCTCCCCTCTCTGACCTCACAAGGGTCCTAAGCCCGGGGTGGGGTGGGGTAAGGTGTCCGTCAGCCTGAGCATAGGTCCACCCCGTGAGGTGGTCACGGGGGTGTGTCAACAGTGTCAACATGCTCCCCCACCCCGAGAAAGGCCGCAAACAGGGACATGAGGGCACCACAGAGGCCCAGAGCTGTCTGAGGGGTGGGCACTGGAAAGGAGAGCAGAGGGGAAGGGCTCCTGCGTGGTGGACAGGCAGCCCGCCGGCTCTCAGGCCGCAGCTCCCACAGAGGGCTGGGCAGCACCCTTATCTCACCCACCAGCATAGATAAGCAGGATGAAGGGGCCGCTCCCCCAACCCAAGCGCCCAAAGCCCCCGCTCTCAGCCCCAGGGCGGCAGCAGCCCTCAGAGCCAACGTCTCGGGGGGTGGACCCTCCCCTGGCCCGTCCCGCCCGGCGGCCCGACTCACCCAACCTGGGAGCCGGTGCTCACGGTGCTGTAGGTGAGGGCCCGCTCGCTGTCCCGCACCTTCTGTGACAGCAGGCTGGTCAGGGCCGGGAAGTAGACACCTGCAAGAGAGGGTGCAGAGGCTGTGGCCCGGAGTGGTCACTCGGGGTCTGGAGAGGACCTCGTGGGTCCCCACCCGGTGAGGAGGAGGAGGAGGAGGCTGACACCTCGAGTTTGTTGTACTGTGAATTCAGGCACCACTCGGCTAAGGAAGCAGGCTCAAGTCCTATGGCCAGAAGGAGCTGCAAAGGCTTCTGGTTGCAAGCCAGGACCTCTACCACCATCACGCCTGCTTCCAGCTGTGCTCCACGGAGCCCTCGCACCGATGTGTACACGTGCACACACAATACGTGTACACGCACATACAAACACATATAATGTGTACTGGCACACACATATAACACATGCACACACACACAGATGCACACACAGAGATACTCGCATCTTTCTCCCAGGGCAGCTCTGTCTTTACCTGTTTTAGATATTGAGCTAGGATTCTTTTGGACAAAGGATTCTGCAGCAACTTTAAAAAGTTTGAAAACACAGCCCATGTCTCCTCCCTTCAAGAGGGAGGAAGGAATCCCCAGGCTGGAAGGGGCTCTGCCAAGGATCCACCAAGGCCTGCAGCTTTCACGGAGATGCTGGCATTGCAGGCTCGTGCAGTGTGATCCAAGGGCTGCTGCCTCCGGGCATCGGTCCTCCATCCCACATTATTACTCTGCATGTTTGCAGTCCATGGGGAGTGTTTGCCTGGTTAACTCACAGACGTTCTTATCACAGATTGTTCATTGAGATGATTGTCTTTGTTCAAGCTAAGCTGCTGCCTCGGAGCCTGAGACGCCCAGCGTCAGGGGCATGAGAAGGAGACAGTGATAAAGCTTCTGTGACAGAGGGACCTGCAGGCAAGCAGAGGCCCTCAGGCACCTGCTGAGGGACAGCACAGAAGTGGCCGACCTAAAGGGCGCATCAGCATTGACCGAGGCTGTCTACGGAGCAGGACCGAGGGGAGCGGATGCGAATGGAGACCCCAAACGCTGACGGGGGTAGCTCAGAGAGGCGGTGATGGGAGTCCTCCTGCTTCCTCCTTTCTGACTATGTTTGCTTCTCCTTTTCCACAGCCACCTAGGTGTCTGTCACAATAACCAAATAGCAGAGGGGTCGACTGTCTGTTTTTAACACAGCCACACAAAGCTCCTTTGTCAGAGTGCGGGCAGGGGGCAGGGAGCGGGGAAGGGGTGTAAGCTTTTGTGTATTTAGTTTTTGCTCCAGCATTTGTGTCTTCTAAAGAGCGTGGGCAGTGCTTTTGCAAAGAAGCAAGTACGTTTTGTAGATTTTTAAACACCTGCATGGAGTTCCGTGTGTTGATTTTGGCGGCGGTTACACAAACCTGCACACGTGATATAAGTACACGGAGCTGTGCACGCACGCTAATGCTCAGCTACACACAGGATATACACACTCTCACACACGACACACACGCATGCACACTCACACACATTTGCACATATGCTCATGCACTCATCACACAGTTACACACTTGCACGCTCACACGCACTCACATTCGTGCATGTACAGCTGGCAGAATCCAGATCGGCCTGTGGGGGGTGCCAGAGTCAGTTCCTGGATTCAGGCTGTGCTGTGGTCTGGTCTGCGAGGGTCACCACAGGGATGGACCTCTCTACAGCTTCCTGGGAATCAACAGTTGTCGCAAAGGAAAGGGTTAAACAAAGCTGCAGCTCCTCCCGTTTGGCTGCATCTGACCCGTAAATCTCAGTTGGCACAGGGAGGGGTCGGCGACCCCACTTTCCTGGAGGGGAGCCTGAGCAGGGGTGTGTCAACGGACAATTTCTGAATTGCTCCCCCAGTTTCAAGGTGAATAGATGTGGATAGCGGGAAGTCAGAAGTCAGCTTGTCTGGCTGCCTCAGTCAGGCGACTTTCATATTTGTGGCGCCTCGGAATGTCATTCCGCACGTCATCTGGTGCCCCCTCGGACTTGTGCCCTGGGGGTAAATGCTCCCCCCCTACTATGCCTCTGAGCCTGAGCCCACGGGGCAGAAACAGAGGGGGCCCCACCTTCCCCTGGGGCCAGGCCAGAGTGGCAATGCTCAAACGGGTGCCACTCGAGCACGTCTGCCCCAGTTCAATGGGCCGTGACGGTGGCCAGCTTCCAGGCTGCAAGTGGCACCAGCCACACAGAGCCCCCCCTCCCAGGACATGGAGAAACAGCCAAGCTGAGGCCCCGCAAAGGCACGTCCCCCCTGCCACCGGCTCTCCTGGGCCACCCAGAGCCCCCGGGGCTGAGAACCCCTGGTCTTGGGAAAGATGGATGCCTCCCCTGCGGATAACACGCACACACACAAGGAACCCCGCCATCCCACATGGGTGGCGGCGAGGTGGCACTGTTCCGAACCAGTCCACAAGTGCTGCCCCCGGGCCACAACCTGGACGCTTTGGCAGAGGAGTGGCATCTGACATTAAAACACGCTGGCCTTCAAGGTGTTTCTAGAAAACAAATGAGCCTCAAGTGCCAAGTCTGCGCACAATCAAATCGCCCCAGCGAGGGTGTGGCAGACAGCGAGCCAGCCAGTGCCACAGGCAGGAAACCTTCCCAGGCCCAGCCACCCACCAGGACAGCCCCTGTCCCACCAGCCCAGGGTCTCGAGGACCCTCTGAGCGCCAAAGGCAGGCTGCACTGGATGTTGACAATGCCTTCTCTGACCAAAGGCTGCTTTGTCCTCTTCACACCTGCCTATACCTGCCCACACCTCCCCACACTGCCCACACCTGCCTATACCTGCCCATACCTGCCCAGTGCCCACATCTGCCCATACCTGCCCACACCTGCCTATACCTGCCCATACCTGCCCACACCTGCCTATACCTGACTATACTTGCCCACACCTGCACATACCTGCCTATACCTGCTCACACCTGCCTGTATCTGCCCGCACATGCCCACACCTGCCTATACCTGCTCACACCTGCCTATATCTGCCCACACCGGCCCACACCTGCCTATACCTGCCTAGACCTGCCCACACCTGCCTATACCTGACTATACTTGCCCACACCTGCACATACCTGCCTATACCTGCTCACACCTGCCTGTATCTGCCCACACCTGACTATACCTGCCTACACCTGCACACACCTGCCCACACCTGCCTATACCTGCCCACACCTGCCTATACCTGCTCACACCTGCCTATATCTGCCCACACCGGCCCACACCTGCCTATACCTGCCCACACTGGCTCACACCTGACTATACCTGCCTAGACCTGCCCACACCTGCCTATACCTGACTATACTTGCCCACACCTGCACATACCTGCCTATACCTGCTCACACCTGCCTGTATCTGCCCACACCTGACTATACCTGCCTACACCTGCACACACCTGCCCACACCTGCCTATACCTGCCCACACCTGCCTATACCTGCTCACACCTGCCTATATCTGCCCACACCGGCCCACACCTGCCTATACCTGCCCACACTGGCTCACACCTGACTATACCTGCCTACACCTGACTATACCTGCCCACATCTGCCTATAACTGCCCACACCTGCACCGGCTCTGAGGAGGCCCAATTGAAAGTCGCTGTCCTCCTATCGCCGTGGCTGGCCGGTCACTCATTCCTTCCTTCATTCACTCATTCCCTCCTCCACCGTCTGAGTCACTGTCACCCAGGGCCTCTGGTGGGCTGGCCCTGTGCCATGCTTGGGGGTGAGCTGAGGACGCATAGCTGTGATTGTGGGAGCCTGGAACAGGGCTGAACAATAGCTACACCCCTCGCACTGACCGTATCCATGGTCACAGCGCCCACCACTGCCTGAGGGCTGGCTGGCACTGACTGTACCCGTGGTCACAGCACCCACTACTGCTCCAGGGCTGGCTGGTACTGATCGTACCCGTGATCACAGCACCCACCAGTGCCTGAGGGCTGGCTGGCACTGACCATACCCGTGGTCACAGCGCCCACCACTGCCTGAGGACTGGCTGGCACCCGTGGTCATAGCATCCACCACTGCCTGAGGACTGGCTGGCACCCGTGGTCATAGCATCCACCACTGCCTGAGGACTGGCTGGCACCCGTGGTCATAGCATCCACCACTGCCTGAGGACTGGCTGGCACCCGTGGTCATAGCATCCACCACTGCCTGAGGACTGGCTGGCACCCGTGGTCATAGCATCCACCACTGCCTGAGGACTGGCTGCAGCTGGGCTTGGGGTCCTGGCATTGTTGGAGCATCTGTGTTTCTCACACAACACCCTGACCACAAGCATATTCTCTCTCCGGGGACAGAGAGGTTCAGGGATGACACCAACAGAGTCTGAAGCTCGGTGAGCTAGGAGGGGAGAAGCAGGAGGGAAGAGGCCTGGGTGGAGGCATCCAGACTGCTGGACTTTGAGAGGACAGAGGGCTGGGCTCTTGGGGAGCAGAGCCTGGCCCACGTCCTGGAGCCACAGGGGCCCAGGGGCAGGGGTGGGGTGGGGGTGGAAGCTTCCCTGTAGGCTCCAGGAATCCCCAAAAGGGGCTCCAGCTGGCAGGGACCCCCCAGCCCCCAACAATCAAGTAGCTCCAAGTCCCAGTGAAGGAGGCATCCTCTGCGTTTGAGTGACACGAAAGTACAAAAACCGGAAACTGAAGTGGGTCCCAGTGGCCGCAGTCTCGTCATTCACAGGCCTAACGTGTTTGACAACAAAGCTGGGAGCCGGCAGGGGCGTTCACCGCGTGTGCTTCACTGGTCTTCACTGTGTCACTCCTGAGAGGGTCTACGAGTGCACACCACCCACACGAGCATGCATGTGCAAACACGGACAACACGCACACAAGTGAATGCAATGCACACACATGCATGCTCACACACATGCAAACACACATGCACACACGTGAACACAGCACACATGCACACACGTGAACACAGCACACATGCAAACACGTGAACACAGCACACATGCAAACACGTGAAAACAGCACACATGCATGCACACACATGCAATCACACGTGAAAACAGCACACATGCATGCACACACATGCAATCACACATGAACACAGCACACATGCATGCACACACATGCAATCACACATGAACACAGCACAATGCATGCACACACATGTGAACACAGAACACTTGTATGCACACACATGCAATCACACGTGAACACAGCACACATGCACACACATGAAATCACACATGTGAACACAACATACATGCATGTATGCATGCATGTGCACACATGAACACAACACACGCGTGCACATACGCACACGTGCCTGGATGTGTGCACATATTCATGCACGCACACACGTGCACACACTCCCCTGCTCTGTCCGCTCTGGTAGCAGTGTCGTGGGGCCGGCCGCGCCCTCACCTTGGAGCAGGCCCGTGAGGATGCGTGAGCAGGTCATGAAGGCCAAGTGGGCACTGCCGAGGTGGGCGAGCAGGGGTGTGGCGGCTGTGATGAGGCCCCAAGCAGAGGCCGACAGCAGGATGACCTTCTCACCCCCGATCCTGGGGAGAGGCAAGGGTGGCCGGGGGGGGGTGAGTGGTGAGAGGTGAAGGGGGGGCATGGGGGGTGGCATGGGGTGTAGGGAGCCAGGATGGGGAGGGGGACAATTGGAGATGGGGGGGCCTGTCTGTCCATCTGTCTGTCTCTGCATGCCCACTCTGCCCAGGATGGGGAGGGGGACAATGGGAGATGGGGGGGCCTGTC